CTCAATATCTAGTAGTTGAAGCATTTGTTGAATGGTAGACTGTGCTAAGGGCAGTGGTGTGATTGGAAATAAACATTTAAAACAGGTATATTTTGTTATTTTCCTGACATACTTGTCTCATTAGATGGGGCAGCCTTATTCTATTCATCAGTAAAAGAAAACAAGAATTGTGATTTAATCTACAAGTATATGATACATAGGCTATTTGATTTTCCATTCAACACACCGGCATTAGTGGTAGAAAAAGACTCTCTCTTTATGTAAGTACCAAATATCTCTACCTGTGTAAAATGAATCTTGTGCAAAACCAGTCACTTTTTGCAGTTGCTTCACCATTGCTTACATGAATGATCTTAAACACCTGTGGAAAAGATTGGATGGCTGCAGCAACACCATTCAACCATGCTAGTTCATATGAACCACTCAGCTGTATTTCCATATTTGATTGATTTGAAAAGTATCTTTTATTAGAAGCCCACGTAATTTGTTTATATTGTATACTGAATCATTAAAATATGATTTGGTTAGGACATAGTATCATTTACACCTGTATCGTTTACATGAGTGCATATGCTGCTAATAGAGTAAAGACAGTGGAGGACCAGAAAGTGATACAGAAATTTTAACCCTGTATTATTTTGTGAACTTTATTGAGTAATACTACTTATGTATTAATTGTTTTTAGCCTGGTTTGTGTTGTACAGGAGGTAAAAGTTGAACATATTCGCGTTGTAGCTGACAATACTCTCTATACCATATACCTTGTCTTGATATGTGTTTCTATCTAGTCCATCAGGTTGGGATAACCTTAAGAAGATCAGCATTCTGTATGAAAACATGCAAGTTATGCGTCCAGAAGATCCATATGAAAGTGTCATTAGTAGACCACATGTCAGAAGAGTAAGCTTCTATGAAATTGTTTTTTCCTAGATTGTAGGCATAAAGAAAGTAGCTCTGTTAGCTCATGTTTGGATAAAGTTCAAAAACTGGGACTTATACGTTCACCTGCTGTGTGTGCATGCTTGTGTATGTGCATTCATATTTTCTTTAACACCTGACTGGGCTGATCATGTTCAAACTTCACACATACAATCATGTCACTTTGTCATTTTGTGATCTGATTAACCAAATTGTGGTCACTTTCCTGTTAAAAGTGCATCAAACTTTCTGCCATTCCAGAACTGGATATGGTTGTGTATGGCAGATTGGATTCAAATTTCATTGTGGATTTCATTGAAGCTTGGTACATACATTGAATATTAGGTTTTGG